GTTATGGGAACCATTGAAAACCCTAGTAAGCAAATGTTCCTCTTGGGAAGCCTTCTCTGCTCCCTCCTGCTTCTTGCTAGTCAGGATTGAGTGCGCTTCCTTAGGGCTCCTATAATTCATTCGTTCATCTTCCCTCTGTCTCTCCCTCTCTTCTTCCCCCTCTCCTTCTCTCTCTCGATTGCATTGACCTGATCTATTTTTCTGGGACAGCTTTCCAACCAGAGTGACACTGGGCCTTTTTCTAGTCTCCTGGTGGCTAGGTGTTCAATAGTGGTTATTGAACAGACCTCAAGAGCTAAATTTCAAGAAGCAGGGTGTAGTATCAATGGATGTGGGAGAGGACAGGCCAGCCCACACGGAAGCTGGAGTATAAACCAGGCAGGAAATAGTTAAAGGCCCGCGTCAGAGAAAGGGCAGTGCTAAAACTAAGGCAGGGACAGTTGGGAACGACCTTGTAGTATTGGAAGCTGTTTCCTGGCAGATGGCGGAATGTGGGGGAGGAGCAGTGGAGGAGGAGGAAGAGGAGGATTCTGAGGTTTTAAGCCTCTAGGACGGGAGAAGAGTCATGCCAATAACTGAAACAGGAAAATTAATCAGTTCAGGATCTCAGAGAGTGAGGACAACTACAATAACAAAAAGTGTGAAGTTACGTTATAATTGCTTAGCAGTCTGTAGTTGTCGAAGCTCATCATCTTTCCCCAAGAGCCCAAATTTAAAAATGAATCAAACTACTGACTTTGCTATTTTGTTTCTATCGAGCTTCTTCGGCAGTCAGCTGAGGGAGAGAGCATGGATGTTCGGCCCCCAGGCCCCTGCTGTTAGGTAGGAATTGATGCTGTGCCCAGGAGGTGTGCTGCTGCATGAAGCCAGGTGGACGGATCCAAATTTAAAAATGAATCAAACTACTGACTTTGCTATTTTGTTTCTATTGAGCTTCTTCGGCAGTCAGCTGAGGGAGAGAGCATGGATGTTCGGCCCCCAGGCCCCTGCCGTTAGGTAGGAATTGATGCTGTGCCCAGGAGGTGTGCTGCTGCATGAAGCCAGGTGGACGGAAGAGGCAGGTAGAAACCCAGGCTCAGTTACACCTTCCTGTAGGCTGGCTGCTGTCGCTAGTTGTTGCTAAGCATCATCTTGTACTCTGTGGCATCAATCAAGATTGTACCCATTCTCTGTCCTTAAGACATCTGCTGCCTCAGCTAAACTGGAGTTACTTGAAGTCCCTATTATAAAACAGAGGAAAGAGAACAAGTGGTATTGCGGGTTCCTAAAAGGCACCTGGAGCTGCTTTGGATGTCCCTCCAACACTAACCTCCGATTTCTCACTAGAACAGGGGTGGGAACAGCATGGCCTGTGGGCCACCTGCAGCCTTGCCCATTCCTTCATGTGTTGTCTGTGGCTGCTTCCTGCTACAACAGCCTAGTCTGCACAGTTGCTAGCAGAGACTGTATGACCTGCAAAGTTGAAAGTATTCACTACAGGGCCCTTTACAGAAAAAGTTTGCCGATCCCCACGTTAGAATGTTAACATGAAGACAGAGGTGTGTCTTGTTCGCTGCTTTGTTCCCAGAATATGGAGCATTGAATGCTTTTGCCCCTCTTCTGCCCTCTGTTTCCTCTCTCCTCTCCCTTGTCTCTGACTCCGTTGCTTCTCGGGTAGCTGTAAGAGGACCGACTCAGCAGTCAGTATCATTCACAACCAAAGAGACTACCAAGCTCTGCTGGAAAATGAGGAGAGCACCATGGCCAAGCTGAATGCCTAGAATGCTGCCTGACAGGTGCTGTCCATGCAGTGCTTTGTAGATGAGATGTGCCCCTGCAACCTAGCACGACCCAAGACTGGGGTTTGGCCACAACAAGTTATAGTCCCTTACAAAATTTACTAAAGTACAAAACCAAGAGGCGGGCCGTATCCTGAGCAAAGCTTCACTCGTGGAACACGTACGTCTGAACCTCAGTATCAGGCACCTGTTCAGAAATTCCAGTGTGCATCGTGATGAGCTGGAGCCCCAAGGAGAGCACCTTTTGGGGGTCCTCAATGCTTTAAGTTATAAACCAAGCTAAAAACACTGCTAAATAATGACCTTTGTAATGACTGGGTTCAAATATTGACTTCTTGGCTTCCTTGGAGTTCCACATTGGCCTGTGGTGGTGCAGAGCTGGCTGCCCCCTGTATCACCCCCCTCTTCTTCCCTCCCCTGTCTTCCCAAGGGACCTCACAGGCCCTGCCTGAGTAGACGCCAGCCTGCACGATCAAGAAAAACCCTAGACCCACGAAAGAGTCCCACGCAGGCCTTAGAAGCAGACTTTAGATCATTTGGACAGGGAATCCCAGGGTTCTGGGTCCAGTAGGAATGTCCCCTGGGACCTGTGGACTCTGCCCTGTGACAGTGAAGCAACCAGGGGACAAGAGTGGGTCCACAGGGAAGGCTGGATGGCAGCCAAGCAACTTAATTTATCTGAGACTTGGTTTCCTTGTCCATTAAAACAATGTAAACAAAACAATTATAAAAAGGCTTAGTTTTTGAACCACTGAGATATTTTCTAGCTGTATAAGCCCATGGTTTTATGAATCTAAAACTTCTAGTACCTATGCTTTCCCCAACTTGACAATTACCTTGGACAAAATGTGGTAGCAATTCTCCCCTGTAAATATCACAAGTCATGAACTGTTAATCCCAAGGGCCCTGCAGAGGCGTTGAATACCCACGTTGAGAAAACCAAGCCCCAGAAAGCCTGGGCCCAGTGGTCTTGAGTCCTTCTGGTACCTGAAAAAGCTATCCCACAAGGCTGACACCGCCATATTTCTAGGGGAAGCCTTCTGCCTTTCTCCAGATGCCCTACAGGCCTGTTGGTGCAGAACTTCCTCCTTGCTGGCCGCAGTGCAAGTACCCAGGCTGTCACAGAGACCCTTTCCTCCAAGCCCCAAGTGTCGCCAATGGTGGTCTGCTCCACTTTTCCCTTCCCGTCTCTTTAGGCGAGCTGTAGTGGCAGGCACAGGTGAAGCTCTCTGTGAGCTTTGTACTCATAGTAAAAGACACTTGTCTTTTGACCTCAGCTATTCTACAATATGGACTCCCCAAAGAAGAACCAGAAGTTTACCAAGTCTGACAGCAAGTTATATGTCTGGAACATTTCATTTCCTTGGTGGTCTTGTTTTCTGAATTGAGTCTCCAATTCCTCCTCCTCTTCTTTATAAATCTTTCTTATTAAACCAGACTGGGGGATCTGTCAATAAATTAACATGTTCTCAGGAGATCTGAGCAAAGCTTACGTCTTGAATACTCCTCAAACCCAAGCAAACTTCGAGTATGTCTTTTCCTCCTAGACTTTTTTCCTGATTGCTTTTGGTGATTAAGCATGGCATCCCTGTTGCTCCATCTGCCCTTTGCTGCTTTTTGGAGGCATGATTTTCTTGAACTTATTTCTTTTTTTTGTATATTATTTTTGCTGGGTTTTCATAGTTTGCTGGGTTTTGAGTTTAGCAAGTATTTGTTGAGTATTTTCTGTGTGGCAGGAGCTGGACAAAAAAGACACAGACCTTGCTCTTGGAGAGCTCAGGTGTAGTGGAGACCGAAGGTAAACTGAGTTTCCCCCCAAAGAGGTGGTGGGAGGATTTTACCCGAACCCAACTCTTTTCAGTCCTTGATGCCTTTCCAAAACTCTCACAACTCACATGAATATCTGCTAGTCCCTCCTCCTTGTTTAGTCTTCTTTCCTGTGTAGCTGCTAATTTAAATTTCAAAATTTAAATTGCCAGCATGCAACAGTGTGATGTAAGTATCAACAGCACACTCCTGGGCTTTTCCAACTTCTATTCTGACCCTGGTTAAAAGGGCTTATAGTTTTGGTCATTGGTAGATTTAAAAAATAGTCAAAACCAGACTAAGCTGTGAGGCTACCAAAGTAGTTCTGTACTCTCTATCGGCAGTTATTGGCCTAGCATTGACTAGCTGCAAAGCAGAAAGCCAGTGGCTGTGCAGGATTTAAAGTTGTGTAGCCCTCTGCCCTCCGTCTGCCTCTGGAGAAGCTGAGGTACAAATTTTTCCACCTTGTGCTCACTTTCTTCCATGTCATCTTCTTGGTAACAGCTGCTGGGCCTCAGCATCTTTCTCTTCCCTGTCTCTCCCCCAACCCCCAACTCTGGAGTTGTGTAGCCCTCTGCCCTCCGTCTGCCTCTGGAGAAGCTGAGGTACAAATTTTTCCACCTTGTGCTCACTTTCTTCCATGTCATCTTCTTGGTGACAGCTGCTGGGCCTCAGCATCTTTCTCTTCCCTGTCTCTCCCCCAACCCCCAACTCTGGAGACTATCCACAGTATAACATGGGTTGAGCAGCATTGCTCTAGAAAGCGTCACACAGCAAAGCCTTCTGCAGGTCATGGAAGGGGACTGACCTGGCAAGAACATCCATTTGCTCTCCTCATCCACAAGTCTTTTGAAAGGTTTGGTTTAAAACTACTATTTCCTGATTCTGGGTGAGCTTTTATGTGAACAACTAGATGTCCTGAGAGCCATTCCCTTCTAACACCACCCCAGAAGACACACACTTCAGCTCTGTGGAAAAGGCACAACATAGTATGAATGAGGCTTTGGCTTCTTTAAATGGTTACAAAGAAATGTCTCATATCCAACCAAGGACCAGCTCTCACCTGCCCATGCCTCTTTGTCTTCTGTCCTAATTAAATGTATGAGGTAGGCACTCAAATAATCTGGGCAAACAAACATGAAACGTAGATTCAAATAATACCCAACTGACAGTGGATAATGTTTACATGCATTGCCAGCTGGGTGTTCTCTTCAAACCCTACAAAGACTTGATATGGAACATTAAGACTAGTCCATTCACTTCTACCCAGTGTTGCAGATTCTTGCCATGACTAGCACTCCTGTGGCAGTAACTCCCACAGGAGCTTATGACAATGACGGGGAGCTGCACACACCCACAGGGAATGTCTAAAACTATACTAGATTGTGCACATGCAGGAGATCAGTGAATTAGGATAGTTTGTGATGAGTCTGTTTGCATTTTATTTCTCCTTGAAAACAACACACACATGCACACAGGTGCATAAACAGAGACAGAAAGAGACAGAGAGAGAAAGCAGATCCACTTGAAACGAGAGTGATACCAAAGCCAAACCTACTAGTGGGATGGACTGGGATTTCTGTTTCTGTGGTCTGGGTGAGGAGGGTTTTGTACTGGTTTGGCTGGTCGGTTTCACCATCAGGTGTTCCAGGGGAGCAAGTCAGTTTTCATTTCCTTCTGAAAGAGCCTCCTTTTGAGTTCACTGCATGCTCCTCATGTGTTTGTTTTCTGCTGCAGGGGGATCATGTATGCTGGCTGGTTCGTTCAGATGTCCCCAAGGGCAAAGGCTCCTGCACTTCCGCTGCCCAGAGCTCCTTTCTGGCTTTGAGGAACGAGCAGTGTGGAAGGAGATCACGCCTGTGGAAGGAGATCAGATGGACTCTTGTCATCTCGGTTTTAGATTTTAAAAGATAAAGAGTTGTCAATCAGTCTCTGAAGGAAGCTCAGCTGAGGGCACTGTGATTCTATCAGATCACAGGTGGTGGGCCACATTCGCTTCCTTCTCTGTGAAACGATCAGAACAATCTCTCAGATCCCCCTGAGTCTAAGATCTAGACATTTGTTACAAAGACTCACACCCCTGTGTGCACGCATGCTTACATCTTGGATTGTTTTTTAGCCCCAGAAAGTTACCATGCCCTTACTATCTTAAAAGCCGAGAAGTCATAATTTAGGTCAGCTCTGAGGTGCAGAATTCCCTTTGACCACTTCCTACACAGATGGCTCCTAGGAAGCATAGCAGTATGACGGGGGGGATGGGATGCTGGGGAGAGAGTTGGGCTGGAGTTCAGGATAGCAGGCCCCAGATCAAAGCTCAGGCACTAAGTCGGGCTCCTTGAGAAGTGGGCACCAAGGTGACCTTTCTAACTGGAGAGACACTGTCTCCAGTAATAAAGTACAGATTGAATTCCTAAACTAATACCCAGCTGTGGGGTGGGGAGTGTGGGCAAGGAGAGGGTTGAATAAGGGCTTGCCCAGTCTAGACAAAATTTGGTTTTGCTGTAGTTTATCCAATTATCTGGTTTAAGATCACACATCCCCTTAAGATGACTAATGCAGTATTTAGGGATGAGAACATGCTTTGAGGTGGTGCAAGGATCCCAATCAAGGCTGTGGGTACTTCTGAAACTAATTGATAAGGATAAAAGTTATATGGGGAAACTGTAACAATGCGTAAGAGTAAGGATCAGAAATTGATCTGAGTTGATCCTGATTTTGGAAAGTACATGTGATGGTCATGCAGTTATTAACTCATTTGGGATGTTTCTAAATTGACTGGTCATATACAAACCATTTATCTATCAAAACCTTGATCCTCACCTGTTTTCATAAATTCGGTTGTGAGATTACATATGACCTAATCCCAAAAGACATTTTCCAGCACTGAGTCCTTCAAAGAATTTAAAAATGCTCTTGATAAGCAGATACACTGATCCCTAGATAACAGAACGTCTGTGTGGTTCCTGCTCACAACCTGGAGCTGTGAAACCATCAGTCTGCTGAACTTCCTGAAGCTTAGCTCTCACATTTGCTAAGGAGCAAGTTGTGAATGTTCTCTAGAGCTCTTTGAGAGAAATTACCTTTTTCTTGTTTGTAGGATACTTTAAGAAAAATCATTTTCAAAGTGGTTTAATATAAACAAGAATATAATTACTATTGATTTCACTACAGACTTATTTATATGTAACACTATACAGAAGGATTTTTGCAAACCTATGTAAAGATAGTACGTCATAAAGACAGAGTTAGGTTTTTAATTAAAAAATTACTATAAAGATATACCAATTTAATAAATGTGTTGCAGTAGACTTTCTAACATTTGTAAGCAAAAATGTGTCACAGTAGAAACACAATAGGAAAATGATCACCTGCAATAAGGGGAAAAGTTTGGAATTAGCTGCTGCAGCTCATAGAACATCAGCGCCCCTGGCCTGGCCTGGGGTGATCTGGTATTAGCCCTTCAAGAGGGAATGTGCCCAGTGGGGGTGGGAAGACCATTGGTACTTCTAGGAAACAATGTTGCTGCCCAGTGATGTATTCTGAGTTAAAAAGGCATTCATAACTGCACATGGTTTTCAAAGAATAATTTTCAACTAGTGTCAACAGCAGCTACAAGATCTATAAGTAATAAACAGTGTCTAGAAAATCTCAGCAAAACTAACTTTCCCTGGACAGGTGCCTTTGCTGAGGCATTTCTGGTCCCTCTGGGGGTTGGGGGGTAGGGGGGGACAAAGTTAACCTTGCTAAGTAGCCATTAGGTCTGTACTGTTCAAGAGGAAGAGGAAAAATTGTCACAGGAACTGCCTTAGAAAGTATTTCAATCATTAGCTATATTTGGTTTTTCTTGCAATCAAGAAATTGATCAGGAGGAATGAGAACTTTATGGGAAATAAGGTTTTAACATATTTTTGCTCATGGGAAAAATGCTTTGATTTGATTTGATTTACTCTCCAGGTAAGTCAGGAGAGAGTGTCTGAATTAGTTCATTTCTTTAAAAATCCCAGGCTTAAACCAAGGCACCTGGATGCAGCTGCCTCCTCCAGTGCTTTCTCTAGCCCTCTCTTTCTGCGGAGCTGGGATCACATGGGCACTGTGCCAGCGCAGGAGCCTGGAAGCATCAGTCCCAAGAGCTATCACAGGCCAGAACACACACCTTCTACTGCTCTTCCTCCATCATCTTGATATTTTTATAAGGAACGAAGAGCCCCCTTCCTACAACAGACAATAATCCTTGATCTAACCAAATGTGTCCACCAGGGACATGGCACGCCAGTTAATTCCCTTCCTTTGAAACTCAAATGTTATGACCAGACATAGATGTCAGGTACCCAACAGTCAAAACCTAATATTCTCTCCTACCTTCCCTGCTTTCTATTTCCAAACTCCCAGGTGTTGGGTTTTTTTTTTCCCTTGTTGTAAGGAAAGCCAAGAAATTTCTTTTCAAAAATGCTCTCTTGTACCATCCAAATGATTTCTTGGTTACAACAAGAGCCACACAGCTACTGATTGAAAAGTCCTGCAGTGCAGAACTGGTGGGGAGTGGCAGGGATACCAAGAAAGTTCTTTTCAAAAATGCTCTCTTGTACCATCCAAATGATTTCTTGGTTACAACAGGAGCCACACAGCTACTGATTGAAAAGTCCTGCAGTGCAGAACTGGTGGGGAGTGGCAGGGATGCAGCGAGAATGTGGTGGAGATGTGAGGACGTGATGTAGGTGGGGCTCTCTGCAGGAGACATATCTGAGTCTTGGGGCACTTCAGGACCAGTGGACCAGCTGGGCCCCTGAGCTGAGGATCTGCCTCAAGCAGTGGGCTGTGAAAGAGCGGGGGTACCTTGGCTTGACGGCTGGCTCCGGCAGCTCGAGGGTGCAGAGGGAGGTCATGAGTTTCAGTCTGCTGTTTAGCAAAATTCACAAATACCTGGAGGCAAGAGAAGAACAAGAGTCGATAGATGTTTCCAGAAAAACGGCACCCGGCACCCACCTACCCACTTTGCTCTCTATTTTTCACATTTAACATACAGCCCTGCTGGTGTGGCTGTGTTCTACCCAGGGGGCCTGGCCCATCCTCAGAAGCCTGGCCACCAGTGCCCCAACAGGGCTTGCTTCTTAGACTCCCAAGCTAAGTCAAGGGAGGTCCCTGTTGGTGGACTCAAAGGACTAAGGGCACTAGATGCTGGGGTAACCAAGGCAAGGCGGATTCTTGGCTAGCAGTGTCCATCTCATTCTTGCAAGAAGAAACACAAAAAAGGTAATCAATCTCTCTTCTGTTCTTCATTTGGTGTCCAATGTGGCTACGACTCCTGCTCAAGCCTTTACCTGCTTAAAGTTGACAAGGAGATATGGGTGGACCAGCCCCTTAAGAGTCCATGGAGACACCTGTTTCCATTGCTTTAGTGAACTGTCTTTAAGGATGTTTATTAAAAAACAGAAAAACAAAATAAAAAAAACCTAGATACAACCCAAATGTCGATTGATAAATGAATGGATGGATAAGCAAAATGTGGCATGTACGTATAAGGGAATATTATTCATCCTTAAAAAGCAAGGAAATTCCCACACATGCTACAACAGGCATGAACCCTGAAGACATTACACTAAGTGAAATAAGCCAACGATTCCACTTATATGAGGTACCCAGTGTAGTTGGATTCATAGAGACAGAAAGTAGAACAGTGGTTGCCAGGGCTGGGGGGAGGAGAGAATGGGGAGTTAGTGTTTAATGGCCACACAGTTTCAGCTGTGCAAGATGAAAAGAGTTCTGGAGATGGATGGTGGGGATGGTTGCACAGAAATGTGAATGTACTAAATGCCACTGAACTGTACGCTTAAAATTGGTTGAAGGGCCGGCCCGGTGGCGCACTGCTACAGTGCGCCGCTTGGGAAGCGCGGCGGCGCTCCCACCGAGGGTACGGACCGGCCGCTCACTGGCTGAGCGAGGG